GCCTTAAATTTAGAATAAATCTTTATCCGATATGTTATAATGCAATGACTTGCCAATGAATCGGCCGATGTGCAAGGCAATTTTTATTCTTGATTTAAGAATTTTCCGTTCAAGAGTCCCTCTGTTAACAATAAATATGATTTTATTTTATGACAATTCGAAGAATAATAGCATTGGATCTGGAAAGTTTTTCTACGGATGTAACGTTCGCTGACTCGGCCGCTTCACAGCTGGTTCTTTCTTGGAGAGAGGATGTAGTGCTCGATTATATAAAACTAATTAATATTGAAATTGAAAAATTAAAGATGTCGGACTATTTATTCTCAATATATTCCTATGATCTACTGCTAATCTAATCCTGATCTATTCTTAAGTATAAAGTTCATCATTACACAAAATTAATTGAATTCATCACGTTCTGTCTGATGTAGATTAGAATTTCGCTTCACGTGTAGTGATATACGAACGTACTTTCTAAATTATTCGCGGATTGCTGCAGAAAAATCTCACGCTTCATTTTTTATTTCTTATAGCTTTAGGTAGAAAAGACAGAATCGAATTCAATTATCACTCAACGTCTCTAACTATTTTGATCTGTCTACGATTATTGGATCAACTTTATTCGTCAAGGTTTCATTCATTTCCGTCATTTTTGCATCGGTTCAAATCCACGCGAGAAAATTCAGAAGGCTGTGGCATCTCGTCGCAATGATGCTCACGTTAAACTACATTCGTAATACTCGATCGGCTAATCGAACACTCGAAGCCCAACTCGCGTCTCGTTCGCGTGTACGCGAGGGGAAGAGTGGACCGTAAGAACGGCCTTGTTATTACAGATGCCGCTCGTTCGGGGATCCCGGGGTGTATTTCAGGCACAAAGAGAGAAGGCCTCCTTCCAATCCGGAAGAGCGACGCCTAATTTTTGGGATCCCGTACGCGCGCGTTTCTGAAAACGTGCAAAACACTATCGATTTCATTTGCGCCATCATCAATCCGCCATCTAATAATACCGATGCCAAAAATCCGTTCCCTCATCTTCCCCGTATCTGGGGCCGTCTCTAAACAGTTTGGACAATTCGTAAATATTTTCTTGAATATTTCATTGTTTAACGAAAACACAATGTCACTCTAGTTCAAGTCGAATATCATTTATTACTTGGACAAGAATTAATATTTCATCAAATTGACTTTGTATAGTAAATGCTAATTAATGGCGAATATTAAACGTAACACAGCGATGTATCCGTAATATCGAAACCAAGTGAGAAAGGATTAATGTCATTTTTACGTCATTATTCGCTTGTGTGCGTGCAAAAGTACATCACAAGTACCAATCGCATCACGACTTGTAATTGTATTAGCGACGGTGAAGTACACACAGTCCCTCTAAACCCGGCTATTTACTACGCGTATCTGAAATAATATTTTTCTTGCTCCAAAAGGTGAGTACTCGTTCTCCAGTTTTTTCGTCCCCGCCCGGGGACAAACGTGAAGAGGAAGCTCGCGGCGAGGACATCGTCAGTCGTCGGCGCCAGTATCCTCCGGCGGGTCTTCGACACAGTCGACAGGGTTGAATCTCGAATTAGTATTAACGCTCTCGCGACTCTTTCGCTCGCTTTTACTAAAGCAAACATTGGTGGCGAAAAAAAAGCCGAGTGCTGATGTCGATGAGCGACGACGAGTTCTCGTTTAAATCGTCACCTTGCCGTTGCGCTCATTCTATAATTACGATGTGTCTCCTCTTTTACACGTCTATTCACGACGTGCGCTCTCTAAAATTTCTGAGCCTTCGTCGGGCGCGCCTTTGCTCTCGCACGCTCATTAATACCCGGAAGAGGCTAAAAGATGCCAAGAGGTCTAGGCATGATAAAACCGAGAAGTGAAACGAGACGGTATTGATGCTGCAAGCCGACGGCGGCGGCGCCAAGACTAGTCTTGTTCGCGAGGACTAATCCACACGAGATCTTCATCGTGCAACGGCAAACAAACGGAATCGAACAATTTGTTTTCGTACGGCAGCTAAGTAGCGACCGCTATCCGGCGCGCGTGTCTTAGATCGGGAGGATCGAGGGTGTCGTCGTTGAGAAAGAGAAAGAGAAAGAGAGAGAGAGAGAGAGAGAGAGAGAGAGAGAGAGAGAGAAAGAGGCGGAAAGGGAATAAGTGATGGATGAGAACTGGCGAAGAACGAGGAAAGAGAGGGAGCGCGACGGCGACGACGGTGACGAGGACGAGGGCGAGGGACGCGGCGGGGGCAGTACGGAGACGAGGCGACAAAATCAATTATTTTGTTAAACAACAAGCCGTGTTATGTTAGGTTTGCCAAAATAACCAAAACAACGACGGCGCTCGCGTTTCTGCATATACGCCGGTTCATTCATCCACGCTCTCACCGCGCCCACCGCCATTTCCATTCATCCTTCTACAGCGAGAAATTATCATCGAAACGGATAATCGGTGGCAAAGCGGTTTTTCCAGCAGGTCGGGATCCGATCGCGCGTCTGCAGGTGTCACCGTCATTACTGTTACGTCCATTTATGTTGCCGTACGCGATGGGCCGCGACACGATATTATACGAGAGGTAAATTGATTTCGGAGGAGAAATGCATTTACCTGGACGGAGATCTTAATGCGTTTACATTAAGGTGACAAACTCCTTACAGGAAGAAATTGGGGGACATTAAAAAAAATTCAATACTATAATTGTCGTAATTACATTTTAATATTATATATTAAAATGTATATTAAATAATTTAATATAATAGCTAAATATTTTTTTGTAATTGTTAATAAAACGCATGAATAAATATTATATTATTATATTTGTGAATAACTATAACTCAATGTAGTATAACGTATATCATATGAGATTACAACAAAAATTACATCAAATTTTCATATTTTATTTTGTTAAATTGTACTTTTCTACTGTGAATGTATTTTACATATTAATATTTAAGTTTATAAACGAAAAATCAATGAACATTTTCATACGTTAATTGATTATATTTCACGCTTATTATTTTCACTTATTACTTTCATACTTAAAAGAGAGATAACTCATAATCATATTCAGTTAGAACAAAATTTGGGATGAAGAGTTAAAATTTGAAACTGTTTCTCTTAATTTGGGATGATTGGTCACCTTAATTTACATCCAACTTCTTTCAGTATGATTTGATCATACGTACAAAATATATTTAAAAAAAAAGTATCTTATCTGTGATGTAAGATAAAACGTGCGATATTATGTAAAATAAATATAGAATCGTAAATTTTCAAAGGCTTAATTATTTAGCCCGCAAATAATATTTTTTTAGACAGTAAGACAGAAATTATTATATTAAAAAGTTAATATATGTACATATAGTTAAGACATAATTCAGGAAGATAATGATTTCAAGGATATAAATTAATTATTCTCTTTTTAAATTTTTTCAAATTTATGAAGCTTTATTATGATAATTATCATCTAGGTTTGATTATTATTATTATTAGACTTCTTTATCGGTGTATGATTTCGATTTATGATTTTTGCGTAATGTCTTTTCTTTATGAAAAAAAGTGTTTGTGAAATATTTAAAATTTTACTGGATCATCAAAATAATTACTTAGGATGCTCAAATTCGAAAATCTCAAAGATAAACACATAATGTATAGAAGTATAAATATATCTTTTTTTTCGGTTTCTTTTACAGTTTTCTCATGAATTCGCTTTCCGACCGCAATAAACATATGTACCTACAAAGTGTTGTAAAAGTGTCGCGCGCGGTAAAGAAAAGGGTCGCGAAATTTCGCGATAGCGCAAGGTGCATCGCCGAGCATCAGGGACGGGAAGGGAAGTTTCGCGGTATCATGAGCTGTGCACTCTTCAAAAAGTACGGAACGAACGAGCGAAGAAGCGATCCATTAGGTAGGAAGCCCCGGCTGACACGCCCTGACGCTATCAAAACACGCCTTAAAACTTATATTCCAGCGCCGGCGCGACGGTGGTAGTAGGAAAGCCGCGTACGTGAGATAAAATAACAGAGTGTAGTTAACAGGCTTGGGTAAAAATATTCACGCTAGCTTCCATATCTCCCTCTCGCGCGCTCGTCCTCTCTCCCTCCTTCCCATTCTCTCTCACCCCTTTTTCCCGCTCTGCTCTCTCTCTCTCTCTCTCTCTCATACACACACATACACACACACACACACACACAATTTTATCCGCATCTACATTTCTCTCTCTTTCTTTCTCTCTTTACCGTTCTTGCTTATTCCTACGCGTTTTTCAGTCACATATTTCGAAATTTCGCGAAACGATATGTATGGTATCATTCGCATCGATTAATCGAAACGTTCGTAAAAACAGCGGCCGCCCAGCAAGTGATTTTAATTAATTTCCCAACGATGCCGATCAGTCGTGAGAAAAATTGTTTGGATTTATGCAAATTATTCTGGAAATATCGGGCTAAATCTCCACGATAAAACGTGTCCGAGGATCAGGTCACGATTCGAGTTCGTATATGAAGTTGACTAAGTTCTGTCTTCCATATTTAATTACTGAAAATATCTCTGATGAAAAAAAGTCTTTTGCAATAGTTCAAGAAACGAAGATTAAGTATTGATCATGAATCAAGAAACCGAGTTATATATATATATTTACTCATTTGTAACTGCATTATGTTATCTTTTTGCGCATTTAAAATGAAATATATGTACAATTAGATATGGAGAGAAAAGAAGAGGTGAACAATTCAGAACGAACTAGAATCTAATTGCAAGATAAACTCGATATTCGACAAATGATGGGTTTAGCTTCGTAAAAAGCAGACATGATTTTCAGACTCATAACCCACAGCACAAAATACTAAAAAATAACGAAAATAGGTCTTTTTTAAGTTAATTTTTTAACGAAGCGAAAGATGTCTAAAGATATCTTTTAGTTTTGTCGAAAAGACAACTTCTCATGTTTTATTCATACAAGATAGAAATTCATACAAGATAGAATAAAAGGTGCAGCATTACGAGAAATTTTACTGGTGTTCTAATAAAATATTTTTTGTAATCCCTAAAGGGAACTATAATGAAAGATAATGACTCTTACACATAGGACACGGCAAACATTGCAAGATCCAGATATGATCATATATTGTCAGTCATGCAATTTCATTTCGTTTTGTGTAAAAATTAATTTAGGAATTTAGTGCTATTAAATGTGCCAAAATATAAAAACTAAAAGAAGTCTTAAAAACGACGACTAAAAGATATAAAAAAAAAATTATCCTTTAATTATCATATGGATAAGACTAAAGATGACTAGCAATGCGACATCTGTCATCTTTTAGTCACCTCTTCGTCAATTATATTTTTTCACTAAAAGATATCTTTATAACAATTTAGACGACTTTATACTCTCTGGGAATGAATATAATATGTAAAATATGATGTAATTACCAAATGTGAGGATCTCCAACTTTGCTCGAATAGGATGACTTCCGTGTTCACATGCTCGAGACTCGAGAATGACTCAAATCGAGAGCTCGACTAAATTAGACTTGTGTCGCCATCTATCGCATAACATATCAACACAGATTTAAAAATAAATTATCATGTGGCTAAATCGATTACCATCAGTTTCTAAATTAATTGAAAACACGTATATCGACAGTCGATCATTCTAAAAAATACCGAAACACGATAAATATTCGATATGTATAAATTAATAATTTATAATATAAATCTTATACTGTACAGTAATAAGTTATAAATGTAATTGATCTTTTTTATTATACTATATCGTAAGCTATAAATTATTCAAATATTATAGCGATTTCGGCTGGGAACACCAACGTGCATATCAAGCAGGCACGTATTGGATGGTCGGAAAGTTGCGCGGGAAAAATCCCGAGGAAATGACATTTTTCCTTGTTTTTTCTAAAACAAACAATACGAAAATTATTCTTTTTATTATTTTTTATGTTTTCACATTACTATTTCATATTATTATTTCTATTACACTAAAAAGTAATAATACAAAAGAAAGAAGGATGTATAAACATGTATGGACATATTTTATATATAATCATACATGTTTATATGAATATTTATGTATGTTTATACATATTTATATATATTCATGCACAAACAATTTTTTATCGGGAATTGTCATTTTGAGAAAAACGCGTTTAAAGTTTTTGAATTCAGTTGTACGGCTTTCTACATTTTGTTCAATATTTTACATACTATTAATTTATAAAAAAAAAATTTAATTTTTTTCAACCTTCTACATGAATTTCCTCTTTTAAGTTTGATATTTCGAAACATTGACAGTTTTTAAAATGCAAATTTCGCAAATAGAAAATGAGCTGTCATCCGAATCACCGACGAGATACTATTAAAGACCGTCAACCATGAGTAAATTTTCGACGGTATAAAAAGGGCCCCAAAAGTAGAAGTAATTGAAGAATGCTGATTTGATATAAATTTGCTATTATTAACATAAATATTGGCTCATACATTATTAAATTCATGATTTTTTATTACATAAATGTTCCATAAATAAATATGCATACTTGTAAAGCTATAATATCCTATATATATATTGTATATTGCAGAAAAATTACAATTTTTTCTCTGCAGTTATCATTTCTGTTGATAATCAAACTTTGACGATAACATTGAAATTACAATTTTAAAGAAAAATCGAGTATTATTGAGTTCTAAATGCATAAATCGTCTACTAAACTAATAAATCATAAAATTTGTACAATATTATCAGTTTTTAATTCTTAATTACTTGCAATATTCACCAGGACGCGAACTCTCGTAAAAATGTCAGTCTTTAATAGTATTTCGTCAGTGTTCAAATGTTTGTTCATGCCTAACGCCGTTGAAAAAATATTATACAATTATTAAGTATTAATAAATATATTTAAGTATATATAATAATTAAAAATTGTATACATATACTTCAAACATGATAATTAAAATAAACTAGTTTAACAATATAGTCAAATAAAATTCTTTTTCCATGATTTATACAGTTATTCTACAATGTGCTTTTTGTTTTCCTGTTTCTTGCTTTACGTTATTTTTTTAAGTCTATTCTACAATATGCTCTTTGTTTCCTGTTTCTTGCTTTTTTTCTCCTTTGCAACCGTTTTATTAACAATTGTATTACATTTCACTTATTCCTAATAATGAAAAGTTTATTTTAAATACAAATCTATTCATATATCATAACATATACAGAGAGAAACCTGAGAGAGGCTATGGCTTAGAGCATATATAAATGGAAGAGCAATAAGAGCGCTGAGCTTGATGGAAACATCGTGCGAGAGAGAAAGCTAGTTGAAACGGAATAGATAGAACGGATAAATGTTGGTAAAGCGCATGCGTCTGTTCCTCGTTCCTGCTCTCTATCATCGCTATCATTTTGTGACGTGTAGGTTATGTTCTATATATGTTTTGTGTAAATTAGCACAAAAAAAGAATTTAGGTTTATATAATTATTTATTTTATAATTTCTTTTCCTTTTTACACCTTCTTAGTACAAATAAAAGAGATAAACTTCACTATCGCTGCTTTCCGACCCCACACACGCGGTACTTGAACAAGGAACGCCGGAACTGACGCCGGCGCATTGAAAACATTTATCCCTTATTACCTTTCTCTCTCGCACGGATGTTTGCATCAGCGCAAATCATGACAAGTATAGGCAATATCCCTTCTATCTATACATATATGTAAGAGTCATGGCAGCCTTTTTCGCATAATAGGTGAAAGCCACCGTACGTTAGCGGCACCAACATCATTTTTATAAAATAATGTGAACTACGTATCACATTTTTGACACTGTCGATAAAATCGAGGTGTCGATAAATGGATTTGGTGCTACATTCGCAAACTGTGAATAAAGATAATATTAATTTACAAAAAAATGTTTCTTTTAATCAAATAAGGTGTTCCTTATAGATTTTTGGATGTCAAAAACGATGCCGCAAGTTAAATTTCACTAGCATATCAGGTTTTCGAAATAAGGTTTGATATAAGGTTTAATATGCAAAAATGGCTTTTTTGTGATATATAAAATGTTTTTGTAAACAAAAAGATTAACGTTATCTTGAAATTGTAAAATCAGAAATCATAAATGTATTGTTCATCTCCTCTACAAAATGTACTCTTTTATTTCAATATCTCACTTTTTAGTCACGTTATGAAGAATAATTTAAGTAACACACACAAAGTTTTTCTAAGCTAGTAAATTTTTCGCCTTTGACAATAAAATGTTATATAATTAAACTTATAATTATATAATTCTATAATTATACTTATAATTTCTAGA